AGAGTCAGAGAGAGATAGACAGAGAGTGAGAGACAGAGAGAGATAGACAGAGAGAAACGCAGAGATAGACAGAGAGATATAGACAGAGAGTGAGAGACAGAGAGATAGACAGATAGACAGAGAGATAGAGACAGATAGAGACAGAGAGAGACAGAGAGACAGAGGTCATGGCGCTTGTTAGCCAGGTAAGGCACCACCCCATATACGAAGCTGCTGTTGTAGAAAGGTACCCCCAGTTTCCTGAAGATTTCCCCCAAAAGGCGGAACATTGGTTTGAGCCGCTGGCAGTGTGAGTACCGGTGGGGCAGATCCTCCCTGGCACCGCAGGAGATGCACCAAGTCTGTTACCCCTGGCGAGATTCGGCTGAGCCACACGGCCGATGGCAACGTGCAGTGTGCCAACCTCCACTGGAGGTCACCGCAGCGTTTGGCTACGGGAGAGACTGTGTACATTTGTTTACACTGAGGGGCGGTCGCAATGAGGGGAGAGAGAGAGAGACATAGAGAGAGACAGAGAGATAGAGACAGAGAGATAAACAGAGAGAGACAGAGAGATAGACAGCGAGTAAGAGGCAGAAATAGACAGAGAGATAGAGAGACAGAGAGAGACAGAGTGAGAGACAGAGAGAGACAGAGACACACAGAGAGTGAGAGCGAGACAGAGAGACACAGAGAGATAGACAGAGAGTGAGAGAAAGAGAGACAGAGTGAGAGACAGAGACACACAGAGAGTGAGAGAGACAGAGAGACACAGAGAGATAGACAGAGTGAGAGACAGAGAGAGACAGAGAGAGACAGAGACACAGAGAGACCAAGAGACAGCATCTAACAAAAAGCAGCCGATCAGGGGATGGGAGAAACTAAAAAAAAATGACTTGGAGTTCTGTCCCGTTAGCGATAAAAAAGGGAATATCATCATCGTCGTGCTCGTCGTGTTGACCGTGGTAGTAATAATAATAACATAGTACACGTACAAATAGTGATGGACGGAGTGGCCCATATTCACAGTTACCGTCCCAGCGACCACGGGGCTGAGATTAAATACGCGAGCGCGCACCACTGGAATGCTGGGTAGCTCCAGCGCTCGCCCCTTCCCCCCCCCCACGTGCTCACCACGCACTCACCCCACGCTCACCATGCCCTGCCTCCACTCACCAGCCCCATGCTCACCAGTATTCACTCCACACTAACAAGCACTAGCCCCACTCACCACATGCTCACCAGCGCTCGCACCACACTCACCAGCAGTCGCTCCACTCACCAGCACTCGCCCCACGCTCACCAGCGCTCGCCCCACGCTCACCAGCGCTCGCCCCACACTCACCAGCGCTTGCTCCACACTCACCAGCGCTCGCTCCACACTCACCAGCGCTCGCTCCACACTCACCAGCACTCGCCCCACACTCACCAGCGCTTGCTCCACACTCACCAGCACTCGCCCCACGCTCACCAGCACTCGCCCCACACTCACCAGCGCTTGCTCCACACTCACCAGCGCTCGCTCCACACTCACCAGCGCTCGCTCCACACTCACCAGCACTCGCCCCACACTCACCAGCACTCGCTCCACGCTCACCAGCAGTCGCCCCACGCTCACCAGCGCTCGCTCCACACTCACCAGCGCTCACCCCACGCTCACCAGCGCTCACCCCACGCTCACCAGCACTCGCCCCACGCTCACCAGCGCTCACCCCACGCTCACCCCACGCTCACCAGCACTCGCCCCACGCTCACCAGCGCTCACCCCACGCTCACCAGCACTCGCCCCACGCTCACCAGCACTCGCCCCACGCTCACCAGCACTCGCTCCACACTCACCAGCACTCGCTCCACACTCACCAGCACTCGCCCCACGCTCACCAGCACTCGCTCCACACTCACCCCCACAACATTCGCCCCCCACACTCAAGCAAAATCCCAAGCTCATGCCAACTCCACCACCCTAACCACCCTCACCTCGGGCTCACCCAAGGGTTGCCAGCACTCATTTGACGCCGATCCAGCACTCTTTGCACTCACCCAAAACTCACCAAACAGACCCTCACTCATCACACACCCTCACTCACACTTGTCACAGTCGCCCCATGCTCACCCACACTGAACTCACTCAACCCCGCACTCACCCCACACTCAAGTAACATGACCACAGCAAAACTCACCACTAAAACTCACCCAGCAAAACTCACCTTACCCACACAGCACGCCCACCCCAAGCACAGTACACTCACCCCACATCTCACATTCTCACCGCTCACACCTGCACCCTCGCCCCACGCAATTCAACGTCACACACTCACCCCACACACTCAGCCACCCAACAATACTCCCCCTCATCAACGCTCACTCCACGTTCCCCTGCCGAGCCAGCCCCAGGCACGTGACCTTGACCTTAACCGTGACCCCGACGACTCTCCGCGTGGCCCAGGTGACGCCACGGGCGGCCGTAGCGCGACCTCTGCTGCCCTTCCCCCCACTAACCCCCCCACCCACTAACCCCCCCACCCACTGACCCCCCCCACCCACTGACCCCCCCACCACCCCCCAAACTTGGCACGCACCCCCCCACGCACCCACCCACCCACCCGACGAGGCGCCTACAACCCTCGGTCGCTGAGTGTGAGGCCGAACGCAAGGGGTGGTAACAAATAACACGGGACGTGTATTGTTACGTTTTGCTTTCTCTCGGATGGGTCAAGGCGCAGTACCCTTTGTACTCTAGTGGTAGTGCCTTAACGCCCGCGCGGACGATGAGTCAAACTCGTAATTATAATTATTACAATATTATTACAATATTATTATTATACACGCACGCGGTTACAACATCGATAGTCGGCTCCTAAATAGTCGGCGGCGGCTGCCGCGTCCACGTCCATCCTCAAGGCGCCGTCGGTGAAGGCCGCTCAAACCCTGGCGAGACTCGACCCCAAACCCCCTCCAGCCACCACGCAACGAGACGAGAGAGGGCCCAACGAGACACGCAAACCAACCTCTACACCCACCCACCACCTCCTCTACACCCACCCACCACCTCCTCTACCACCCCCCCCCCACCTCTACCCCACCCACCACCTCCTCTACACCACCACCTCCTCCTCTACCCCCCCCCCACTCCTCTACCCCCCACCTCTACCCCACCCACCACCTCCTCTACACCACCACCTCCTATACCCCACCCACCTCTATCACGCCCCCCACCTCTACCCCCCCCCACCACCTCTACCCCCCACCTCTACCCCCCCCACCACCTCTACACCACCACCTCCTCCACCCCACCCACCTCTACCCCCCCCCACCACCTCTACCCCGCCCCCACCTCTATCACGCCCCCCACCTCTACCCCCCACCCCCACCTTTACCTCACCCCTCTCCCTCCCCCCCACGTCTGGCCCCCCACCTTCTACCCCCCCCGGCAGCGGATCATCGCCCTCGCTCAGCGCTGGCCCTCCCGCCATGGCAACGTGTCACTGCCGCCATGGCAACGTGTCACTCCCGCCATGGCAACGCGGCACTCCCGCCATGGCAACGTGTCACTCGTCATGGCAACGTGTCACTCCCGTCATGGCAACGTGTCACTTCCGCCATGGCAACGCGTCACTTCCGCCATGGCAACGCGTCACTCCCGCCATGGCAACGTGTCACTCCCGCCATGGCAACGTGTCACTTCCGCCATGGCAACGCGTCACTTCCGCCATGGCAACGCGTCACTCCCGCCATGGCAACGTGTCACTTCCGCCATGGCAACGTCACTTCCGCCATGGCAACGTGTCACTCCCGCCATGGCAACGTGTCACTCCCGCCATGGCAACGCGTCACTTCCGCCAAGGCAACGCGTCACTCCTGCCATGGCAATGTGTCACTCCCGCCATGGCAACGTGTCACTCCCGTCATGGCAACGTGTCACTCCCGCCATGGCAACGTGTCACTCCCGCCATGGCAACGCGTCACTCCCGCCATGGCAACGTGTCCCTCGTCATGGCAACGTGTCACTCCCGCCATGGCAACGCGTCACTTCCGCCACGTGGCCGGCTGCACGTAACCCCCCAGCGTTTCGCCGGAGCGGCCGATTATCAGCATTATTTATTTATTAATATTATATTTTTTCATTTAATTCTTGCCGGCCTCGGCGTCCGCGCGTGACCTCCGCTCGCCGGAGTGGCGCGACTTCCGAGCCCCCTGTGACCTCTGAACCCCCGTGACCTCTGAACCCCCGTGACCTCCGAGCCCCCCGTGACCTCCGAACCCCCGTGACCTCCGAACCCCCGTGACCTCCGAGCCCCCCGTGACCTCACGCGCGGTCGCCGCCCCCCCCCCCACGATTCTACACAAAAGTCTCTCACGAAGGAGTGAAGTGTAGAGATATATATGTGTGTGTGTGTGATGTATTAAAAACAAAAACGACAAAGCAGAGCGAGCGTAAGGAGCGAGCGCTGAGAGACACGAGGGGCGGGACGACGAGGGAGGCCGGCCTCGGTGTCCACCCAGCGCCACCGCAACCACCCCCTACCCGGCGGCATCCACCTCCCACGCCGACACCACCCCCCCCCTGACCTGCATCACCACGTAACCCGCCTCACCCGCTGACTGGCATCACCACCCAACTCATCGCCCCCTGACCCTTCACCCGTGACTTGTCGCCCTCTGAGCTGCATCGCCCCCTGACCCTTCACCTCTGACTCGTCGCCCCCTGACCCTTCACCTCTGACTCGTCGCCCCGTGACCTGCGTCACCCCGTGAAACCTCCACCCACGTCTGATCTCCACGCCCCACACCGCCCCCTGCGTCCACTCTCTGTGCAGGGTCACCCCTTGCCCCGCTCACAGCTCCCGAGATGAGAAAAGTCAACGGCGTGACGAGATATCAGCGGGAACCCAGATGGGAGTTAAAGGATAACAGGGTGAGCTCACACACGAGTGGCGAGCGGTGAGCTGACACTCGAGCGGTGAGCTGACACTCGAGCGGTGAGCTGACACTCGAGCGGTGGGCGACGAGTGGAGAGCTCGCACAAGAGCGGCGAGCATAGGGCCATGAGCCGGGAGTAGCGAGTTCAAATGTACGTGGCGAGCGGTGAGCTCGCACGAAGACGGTCAGCTGACATGCGAGTGGTGAGCAGTGAGCTCACACCAGAGCCGTGAGTTGTCAGGTTCACACGTAGTGGTGAGCGGTGAGCTCACACGTGAGCGGTGAGCGGTGAGCTCACACGTGAGCGGTGAGCTCACACGTCGGTGGTGAGCGGTGAGCTCACACGTGAGCGGTGAGCTCACACGTCGGTGGTGAGCGGTGAGCTCACACGTGAGCGGTGAGCTCACACGTGAGCGGTGAGCTCACACGTCGGTGGTGAGCGGTGAGCTCACACGTAGGCGGTGAGCGCCGCGTGGAACTCGGTGAGGCACTGCACCAGCTGAGTGAACTTCGGCCTCTCCTCTGGGTCCAGCGCCCAGCAGCACGCCATGACTGCAAACCTGCACACCGTCACCACCACCCCATCACCGTCATTACCAAACCGTCACCACCACCCCATCACCGTCACCACCACCCCATCACCCGTCACCACCGCCCCATCACCGTCATTACCACACCATCACCACACCATCACAACCACCCCATCACCATCACAACCACCCCATCACCGTCACCACCACCCCATCACCGTCACCACCACCCCATCACCACCACCCCATCACTGTCATTACCACACCGTCACCGTCATTACCACACCGTCACCACACCGTCACGTAACCACACCGTCATCACACCGTCACCGCACCATCACCGCACCGTCACAGCACCATCACCACACCGTCACCACACCATCATCACCATCACCCCCACCACCCCCACACCATCACCACACCATCATCATCACCATTATCACCACCATCACCACCACACCATCATCATCACTACCACAATCACCACACCATCATCACCACATCCGCACCACCACCATCACCACCATCATTACCATCACCATCACCACGTCATCACCACGTCATCACCTCATCATCTTTACACCACCACATCGCTGCAGTGCGCTCTGTGGAGGCAATATGGCGGAGTGTGGTGAGTACGGTGTGGTGTGGTAGTGCAGTGTGGTGAGTACGGTGTGGTGTGGTAGTGCAGTGTGGCGAGTACGGTGTGGTGTGGTAGTGCAGTGTGGCGAGTACGGTGTGGTAGTGCAGTGTGGCGAGTACGGTGTGGTGTGGTAGTGCAGTGTGGCGAGTATGGTGTGGTGTGGTAGTGCAGTGTGGTGAGTACGGTGTGGTGTGGTAGTGGAGTGTGGTGAGTACGGTGTGGTGTGGTAGTGCAGTGTGGTGAGTATGGTGTGGTAGTGCAGTGTGGTGAGTATGGTGTGGTGTGGTAGTGCAGTGTGGTGAGTACGGTGTAGTGTGGTAGTGCAGTGTGGTGAGTATGGTGTGGTGTGGTAGTGCAGTGTGGTGAGTATGGTGTGGTGTGGTAGTGCAGTGTGGCGAGTACGGTGTGGTGTGGTAGTGCAGTGTGGCGAGTATGGTGTGGTGTGGTAGTGCAGTGTGGTGAGTACGGTGTGGTGTGGTAGTGCAGTGTAGCGAGTACGGTGTGGTAGTGCAGTGTGGCGAGTACGGTGTGGTGTGGTAGTGCAGTGTGGCGAGTACGGTGTGGTGTGGTAGTGCAGTGTGGTGAGTACGGTGTGGTGTGGTAGTGCAGTGTGGTGAGTACGGTGTGGTGTGGTAGTGCAGTGTGGTGAGTATGGTGTGGTGTGGTAGTGCAGTGTGGCGAGTATGGTGTGGTGTGGTAGTGCAGTGTGGTGAGTACGGTGTGGTGTGGTAGTGCAGTGTGGCGAGTACGGTGTGGTGTGGGAGTGCAGTGTGGTGAGTACGGTGTGGTGTGGTAGTGCAGTGTGGTGAGTATGGTGTGGTGTGGTAGTGCAGTGTGGTGAGTACGGTGTGGTGTGGTAGTGCAGTGTGGTGAGTACGGTGTGGTGTGGTAGTGCAGTGTGGCGAGTACGGTGTGGTGTGGTAGTGCAGTGTGGCGAGTACGGTGTGGTGTGGTAGTGCAGTGTGGTGAGTACCATGTGGTGTGGTAGTGCAGTGTGGTGAGTACGGTGTGGTGTGGTAGTGCAGTGTGGCGAGTATGGTGTGGTGTGGTAGTGCAGTGTGGTGAGTACGGTGTGGTGTGGTAGTGCAGTGTGGCGAGTACGGTGTGGTGTGGTAGTGCAGTGTGGCGAGTACGGTGTGGTGTGGTAGTGCAGTGTGGCGAGTACAGTGTGGTGTGGTAGTGCAGTGTGGTGAGTACCGTGTGGTGTGGTAGTGCAGTGTGGTGAGTACGGTGTGGTGTGGTAGTGCGGTGAGTACGGTGTGGTGTGGTAGTGCAGTGTGGTGAGTACGGTGTGGTGTGGTGAGTACGGTGTGGTGAGTACGGTGTGGTGTGGTAGTGCGGTGAGTACGGTGTGGTGTGGTAGTGCAGTGCGGTGAGTACGGTGTGGTAGTGCAGTGTGGTGAGTACGGTGTGGCGAGTATGGTGTGGTGTGGTAGTGCAGTGTGGTGAGTACGGTGTGGTAGTGCAGTGTGGCGAGTACGGTGTGGTAGTGCAGTGTGGTGAGTATGGTGAGTACGGTGTGGTGTGGTAGTGCAGTGTGGTGTGGTAGTGCAGTGTGGTGAGTACGGTGTGGTGTGGTAGTACAGTGTGGTGAGTACGGTGTGGTAGTGCAGTGTGGCGAGTACGGTGTGGTGTGGTAGTGCAGTGTGGTGAGTACGGTGTGGTGTGGTAGTGCAGTGTGGTGAGTACGGTGTGGTGCGGTAGTGCAGTGTGGTGAGTATGGTGTGGTGAGTACGGTGTGGTGTGGTAGTGCAGTGTGGTGTGGTAGTGCAGTGTGGTGAGTACGGTGTGGTGTGGTAGTACAGTGTGGTGAGTACGGTGTGGTGTGGTAGTACAGTGTGGTGAGTACGGTGTGGTAGTACAGTGTGGTGAGTATGGTGTGGTGTGGCGCAGTTGTGCAGTGTGTTGAGTGCAGTGCGGAAGTGCAGTGTGGTTAATGCAGTGTGGTGCAGTAGTGCGGTGTGGTGAGTGTAATGTAGTGCGTTAGTGCAGTGTGGTGAGTACGGTGTGGTGCAGTAGTGCGGTGTGGTGAGTGTAATGTAGTGCGGTAATGCAGTGTGGTGCAGTAGTGCGGTGTGGTGAGTGTAATGTAGTGCGGTAGTGCAATGTGGTGAGTACAGTGTGGTGAGTGCAATGCAGTGTGGTGAGTGCAATGTAGTGCGGTATGGTGCGGTGCGTTTGGTGTGGTGCGGTGCGTGTGGTGTGGCGCTTGCGTCGGCTTGTCCCGTTCAGTAGTGCGGTGCGTGTGGTAGTGCAGTGTGGTTAATGGAGTGTGGTGCAGTAGTGCGGTGTGGTGCACTGGTGCGGTGAGTGTGGTAGTGCAGTGTGGTTAATGGAGTGTGGTGCAGTAGTGCGGTGTGGTGCAGTAGTGCGGTGAGTGTGGTAGTGCAGTGTGGTTAATGGAGTGTGGTGCAGTAGTGCGGTGTGGTGCAGTAGTGCGGTGCGTGTGATTGTCTCCGTACAGCTCGTCGGGGCAGTTGCAGGGCTGGGGGATTCGGAAGCCATCTTTGAGGTAGGCCGCCATCTCAAAGGGGTCGATGTCAGCGTAGGGAGTCTGGCCCAGCGTCATCAACTCCCACAGCGTCACACCAAACGCCCACTGCACACACACACACAGGAACACACACACACTCTGGACACACAGCTCCCACTGCACACACGCAATACCAATACGCGCCAATTCGCCACTACGTGACGGTGATGTCACCACAGCGCCTGTGCCAGGCCAGGTGCACTTTGAGGCCACGTGAAGTGACGAAGGCTAAATACACACGCAGGGGTAAAACACAACCACTGCCATTCACCACTAAGTGGCGGTGACGTCGCCACGACGCTTGTGCCAGGCTACGTGCACGGTAAGGCCACGTGAAGTGTCGAACGCCCGCTGGCAGGAGGTCACGGGGCAGACCCAGGTACCACGGGTCGACTGAGATGACTGTCTGATGCACCACCTGTGCCCCCTACTGTGCCAACTTGCTGTGCTTTAGCCACCCGGCGCTCCGCTCGTTGTTGTGAGCGTGGCTCCTCCGCCCTCCGTTGTTGGTGGAGGGCGACTGCCTCCAACTGCCCAGTAGCGGCATCCTTCACGAGCCTCCTCCACAGAGGCCGATCTTGAAACCGCTGCTACCAGTCATCGGCAAGTCCACTCAGCTCCACGTCCTCCTATACCACATCCCTCCATCTCTTCTCTAGCCCGTGCCGCGCCCGTTTAACGCCCTCGATCCGGCCGAACAAAAGCTGTTTAGGTATGTGGTGGCTGGGCATGTGGGCTACATTACCCAGCCAACGCAGCCTTGCCTGCCGGAGGAGCTCACCGATGGGACTTTGTCCAGATCTTATCAGGATTTGTGAGCTGCTCACACAATCCAGCCTGGTTAAACCCAGGATGGATCGTAGGCAGGCCAGCTGACATGTTTCTAACTGGCGCAGTTGTTCCATTAGGGGGGTCCACGTTTCGCAAGCGTAGAGAAGGGAGGGAATGACCGTGGCCGAGAAGACCCAAAGCTTCGTGTGGAGCGACAGACCAGGTACAGTGAGGGAAAAAAGTATTTGATCCCCTGCCGATTTTGTACGTTTGCCCACTGACAAAAAAATGATCAGTCTATAATTGTAATGGCTGACATTTGGTAACTCGAACCTTCAGCTCCCTCCACAGATTTTCTATGGAAATAAGGTCTAAAGACTGGCTACGCCACTCCAGGACCTTAATGTGCTTCTTCTTGAGCCACTCCTTTGTTGCCTTGGCCGTGTGTTTTGGGTCATTGTCATGCTGGAATACCCATCCACGACCCATTTTCAATGCCCTGGCTGAGGGAAGGAGGTTCTCACCCAAGATTTGACGGTACATGGCCCCGTCCATCGTCCCTTTGATGCGGTGAAGTTGTCCTGTCCCCTTAGCAGAAAAACACCCCCAAAGCATAATGTTTCCACCTCCATGTTTGACGGTGGGGATGGTGTTCTTGGGGTCATAGGCAGCATTCCTCCTCCTCCAAACACGGCGAGTTGAGTTGATGCCAAAGAGCTCCATTTTGGTCTCATCTGACCACAACACTTTCACCCAGTTGTCCTCTGAATCATTCAGATGTTCATTGGCAAACTTCAGACGGGCATGTATATGTGCTTTCTTGAGCAGATTTCAGTCCTTCACGGCGTAGTGTGTTACCAATTGTTTTCTTGGTGACCATGGTCCCAGCTGCCTTGAGATCATTGACAAGATCCTCCTGTGTAGTTCTGGGCTGATTCCTCACCGTTCTCATGATAATTGCAACTCCACGAGGTGAGATCTTGCATGGAGCCCCAGGCTGAGGGAGATTGACAGTTCTTTTGTGTTTCTTCCATTTGCGAATAATTGCACCAACTGTTGTCACTTTCTCACCAAGCTGCTTGGCAATGGGCTTGTAGCCCATTCCAGCCTTGTGTAGGTCTACAATCGTGTCCCTGACATCCTTGGAGAGCTCTTTGGTCTTGCCCATGGTGGAGAGTTTGGAATCTAATTGATTGATTGCTTCTGTGGATAGGTGTCTTTTATACAGGTAACAAGCTGAGATTAGGAGCACTCCCTTTAAGAGTGTGCTCCTAATCTCAGCTCGTTACCTGAATAAAAAGACACCTGGGAGCCAGAAATCTTTCCGATTGAGAGGGAGGCAAATACTTATTTCCCTCATTAAAATGCAAATCAATTTATAACATTTTTGACATGCGTTTTTCTGGATTTTCTTGTTGTTATTCTGTCTCTCTCTGTTCAAATAAACCTACCATTAAAATTATAGACTGATAATTTCTTTGTCAATGGGCAAAAGTACAAAATCAGCAGGGGATCAAATACTTTTTTCCCTTACTGTAGCTTCCACACAGCATTACACAACCAATGAAAAGATAATGCCGCTCGACTGATTCGGAGTGAGACCTCTGCTGTCAAACCAGAGCTGGTCACAACTGCCCCATCAGAGTAACACACACACAGAGTAACACACATACAGAGTAACACACACAGAGTAACACACACACAGAGTAACACACACACACAGAGTAACACACACACAGAGTAACACACACATACACAGAGCAACACACACACAGAGCAACACACACACACAGAGCAACACACACACACAGAGCAACACACACACAGAGTAACACACACAGAGTAACACACACACAGAGTAACACACACACACAGAGTAACACACACAGAGTAACACATACAGAGCAACACACACAGAGCAACACACACACACACACACAGAGTAACACACACACACAGAGTAACACACACACAGAGAGTAACACACACACAGAGTAACACACACACACAGTAACACACACACAGAGTAACACACACACACAGTAACACACACACAGAGTAACACACACACACACACACAGTAACACACACAGAGTAACACACACACAGAGTAACACACACACAAGAGTAACACACACACAGTAACACACACATAGTAACACACACACAGAGTAACAGACACACACAGAGCAACACACATACACAGAGTAACACACACACAGAGTAACACACATACACACAGAGTAACACACACACACACAGAGTAACACACACAGAGTAACACACACAGAGTAACACACACACAGAGTAACACACAACAACCGCCATTCGCCACTAAGTGGCGGTGACGTCACCACGACGCTTGTGCCAGGCTATGTGCACCCTGAGGCCACATGAAGTGTCGAACGCCCGCTGGCAGGAGGTCACGGGGCAGACCCAGGTGCCACGGGTCGACTGACTGAGATGACTGGCTGATGCACCACCTGTGCCCCCTACTGTGCCAACCTGCTGTGCTTTGGCTACCCGGCGCTCCGCTCGTTGTTGTGAGCGTCGCTCCTCCGCCCTTCGTTGTTGTTGGAGGGCGACTACCTCCAACTGCCCAGTAGCATCCTTCACGAGCCTCCTCCACAGAGGCCGATCTTGACACCGCTGGTACCAGTCATCGGCAAGTCCACTCAGCTCCACGTCCTCCTGTACCACATCACTCCATCTCTTCTCTAGCCCGTGCCGCACCCGCTTTGCCCCCTCAATCCGGCCGAACAAAAGCTGTTTCGGCATGCGGTGGCTCGGCATGCGGGCTACATGACCCAGCCATCGCAGCCTTGCCCGCAGGATGAGCTCACCGATGGGACCTTGCCCAGATCTTTCAAGGATTTGTGAGCTCCTCACACAATCCAGTCTGGTTAAACCCAGGATGGATCGTAGGCAGGCCAGCCTAAATGTTTCTAACCGGCGAAGATGTTCCATTAGGGGGGTCCACGTTTTGCAAGCGTAGAGAAGGGAGGGAATGACTGTGGCCAAGAAGACCTGAAGCTTAGTGCGGAGCGACAGACCAGGTAGCTTCCACACAGCGTTACGCAACCGATGAAAAGATATTGCCGCTCGACTGATTCGGAGTGAGACCTCTGCTGCTAAACTGGAGCCAGTCATAAGCACACTGCCCAGGTATGGGAAACTCTCCACTCTCTCCACAACTGCCCCATCACCGATCGGGAGTTGTGGGGGTGGAGTGTCCGATGGTACAAAATACCCAGGCAGGTGCTTAGTTTTGGTGGGGCTGATGGTAAGGCCCCACCTCTTAGTGGCATGCTCCAGTCTCAGCAGCAGCGTCTCCAACTCCTCCTCTGACTGAGCAGCTATTACCAAATCATCAGCATACATAACGTGGTTGAGCAATAGGGAGCCATCCCTTGACCGCACCCGGGCATCGATCAGCCTCCCATTATATCTGTACCATATGGAGATTCCCCCGGTACAGCTATTGAAGGCTTCACGAACTACGTGGTCAAAATAGATGTTAAATAATGTGGGAGCCAGAGGAGATCCCTGTCGCACCCAAAGGTGTACAGGGAATGGCTCTGACTCCCGGCCACGTAGTTTTACCCGGGCCCGCTCACCATCATGAAGGTCCTTAATGATCGTGAGCAGAGGGTCAGGTACTCCAAAAGCACGAAGAACGACCCAGAGCCCAGGCCTACTGATGGTATCATAGGCCTTGACCAGGTCAATAAAGCAGAGATGCAGGTCTTGTTGGAATTCCCTACACCTCTGCTGTAGCAGACGGACAGAAAATATGGCATCTGTGCAGGACCGCCCTTTCCTGAAACCGCATTGGGGCTCCGCAAGCCTCTCCTCAGCGTGCCTGGCAAGGCGATGCTGAATAATCCTTGCCAGGACCTTTCCCGGCACACTGAGGAGTGAGATGCCCCTGTAGTTGTTACAGTCTGTGCGGTCCCCCTTCTTAAAAAGGGGGACCACCAGGGCATCCTTCCAATCCTGCGGAACCCGTCCAGTGGTCCAGACTGTTGTTATGATGTCATATAGGGCAGTCTGTGCGCAAACGCCACCCTCCCTCAGCATTTCGCTTGGGAGATCATCTCTGCCCGCTGCCTTTCCTGGTCTCAGACTCCGGATCGCCTTCAGTACTTCCTCAACAGATGGCACCTCAGCCAGCCACTCACAGGGGGTGACTTCTTCCAATATTTGAGGCACCGCAGCCTCAGCAGGGTCATCCTCACTTTATGCCACGATGTTTTCCTGGCTGAGGGATTTTCTCTCCCCCAGGACCTCACAGAAATGCTCAGCAAATCTGCAAACCTGTTCCTGGGGTACGGAGATTGGATCACCGTTTTTTCCCCTAATGATGGCAATAGGTGTGGCGCTGCAGGTTACTTTTTTGATGGAGTTAAATAGAGATTTGTGATCACGGGCCACTGAGGCAGACTCCATCTCCTCAGCAACCCGCGACCACCACCCATCCTTGCAGCGCCTCACGGCTCTCCGAACCTCCGAGCGAAGGCTGTGGTAAGCCTCCTCATTCTCTGACGTGGGATTCTGTAGCCGATGGCAGTGGGCCTGTCGCTTTTTCTCAACCATCCTGAACACCTCCTCTGTCAGCCAGGGTCTCTGGGGAGGTCTGGACCGCGTACCCAAAGCAGCCATTGCAGCTGCATGAGTCACAGTCCTAAACCTCGCCCATTTACCCTCGACATCAGGAGGAGTCGGGGACGATGCCAATCCCAGCCGCAAGCGATGATGAAATTCTCGCTTGCAACTTTCATCAGATAACTGAGACCAGGCCACTTTAGGTCGGAATGGGGTCCTGGGTGTACACCCACCACCGGAGTGGAAGAATGGCAGGCGCATCTTACAGATGACTAGTCGATGGTCAGAGGGCAGATCAGCTCCACGGTAGGTCCTGGTGTCAAGGACATGGGCTCGCATCCGCTGGTACGTCACTATGTAGTCCAGCAGATGTTCTTGCTTGGACCCGGCATGCATCCATGATGTTGTGTGGATGCGCCGATGCCGGAACAGCGTGTTGGTAATTACAAGCCCATGGGCTGCACAAAAATCTAGCAGCCTCCTACCGTTGTTATTGAGCTCATCTGGCCCATGCCCTCCAATCACTCCAGACCAGGTGCCAGTATCATGACCAACTCGGGCATTGAAGTCACCCAACATGATGACTCTATCCCGAGGGGCCACTTTAGCCAGCACCTGTGACAGGAGGTCATAGAAGGCATCTGACTCATCGGCTTTGCCTGCATCCCTCCACGGATGTTCATCTTCGGTGGGGGCATAAGTAACCACGACCACCATTCCTCGCCTCCGGTTGATGGGAAGGCGAGCCCAAAGTAGCCTGGGGCTTACAGCTTCCCACACCTCACAGCCACGCTCCCACGCCCCCTTCAATCTTTTGTTCAAAAGAAGAGCCACACCCTGTTGTTTGGCAGTTTGCTGCCCCGAGTAGAGGACTGTCCACCCCTCATGGTGGCAGGAGCCAGAGCCGGTCCACCGGACCTCCTGAATGCCGCATAGATCCAGGCGGTACCGGTCCAGCTCCCGACAGAGGAGTGGCAGCCTCTCCTCCGCAGTGAGCGTTCGAACATTCCACGTGGCCACCCGTAGTGGCTTTTCGTTGTTTCTGGAGTAGCCCCGAGGGTAGGTATTCAATCTCCTGGCTCCGCCAATTGGGGTTTGGCCAGGAGACGTCATAGACGCCTGGCCCCCCGGGGCCTCCGGCACAAGCTTATTAGTTACATATTTCAGTTTAACTCGTGGTTTCGTGGTAATTAATTGAAGGTGGAGGGGTTACCAGCCCCTCGCACCCGTCCAGAGCCCCCGTTTAGCCCCTGTGGTGGACACATATGCCATGAGGGGAGGAGCCAATCAAAATTGGATCTCCCCCCACAGCACTGTCCACGACAGAGTTGCCCGTCCGGCACCGCGAGGAGGTAGGGGGTTGTTTAACACACATACAGAGTAACACACACACACAGAGTAACACACACAGAGTAACACACACACAGAGTAACACACACACACAGAGTAACACACACACAGATTAACACACACACACAGTAACACACACACAGAGTAACACACACACACAGAGTAACACACACACACAGAGCAACACACACACACACAGAGCAACACACACACACATAGCAAAACACACACACAGAGCAACACACACACACAGAGCAACACACACACACAGAGCAACACACACACAGAGTAACACACACACAGAGCAACACACACAGAGTAACACACACACACAGAGTAACACACACACAGAGCAACACGCACACAGAGTAACACACACAGAGTAACACACGCAGAGTAACACACACAGAGCAACACACACAGAGCAACACACACAGAGCAACACACACACAGAGTAACACACACAGAGTAACACACACAGAGCAACACACACACACAGAGCAACACACACAGAGCAACACACACACACAGAGCAACACACACACACAGAGCAACACACACACAGAGCAACACACACAGAGTAACACACACAGAGTAACACACACACAGAGTAACACACTCATACAGAGTAACACACACACACAGAGTAACACACACAGAGTAACACACACAGAGTAACACACACAGAGTAACACACACAGAGTAACACACACACACACACAGTAACACACACACAGAGTAACACACACACACTCTAGACACACACACACACACAGAGTAACACACACACAGTAACACACAGAGTAACATACACACACTCTAGACACACACACACAGAGTAACACACACACACAGTAACACACACAGAGTAACACACACACACTCTAGACACAGCTCCCACCGCGTCACCGTAGAGGGAGCATCACGGATCGTACCACGTCGCTGTGGGGGGGGGGGTAGGTAGCGTCATGGGTCATACCACGTCGCTGTGGGGGACAGGGGCGGTGAGGAGCGTCATGGGTCATACCACGTCGCTGTGGGGGACAGGGGTGGTGGGGAGCGTCATGGGTCATACCACGTCGCTGTGGGGGACAGGGGGGGTAGGGAGCGTCATGGGTCATACCACGTCGCTGGGGGGGACGGGGGGGGGTAGGGAGCGTCATGGGTCATACCACGTCGCTGTGGGGGACAGGGGTGGTAGGGAGCGTCATGGGTCATACCACGTCGCTGTGGGGGACGAGGGGTGGTAGGGAGCGTCATGGGTCATACCACGTCGCTGTGGGGGACGGGGGGTGGTAGGGAGCGTCACGGGTTGTACCACGTCGCTGTGGGGGACGAGGGGGGGTAGGGAGCGTCATGGGTCATACCACGTCGCTGTGGGGGACAGGGGTGGTAGGGAGCATCATGGGTCATACCACGTCGCTGTGGGGGACGAGGGGGGTAGGGAGCGTCATGGGTCATACCACGTTGCTGTGGGGGACGAGGGGGGGTAGGGAGCGTCATGGGTCATACCACGTCTCTGGTGGGGGATGGGGGGTGGTAGGGAGCGTCATGGGTCATACCACGTCGCTGGCGGGGGAGAAGTCGTGGTGGAGGAGCCCTTCGAGGGCCATCCAGCGGACGGGCCGGTTCACGTTGTCCCCCAGGCAGTGGTAGTCCATGGGGAAGAGGTCACGTGCCAGCGCCGTGTCCGTGATCTTCACGTGCAGGCCCTCGTCAATGCTGCACGCACACAAAGACAAAGATCCCCCGTGTAGCCTCAACAGACCGTTGGGGCAAGTGCTGTTAGCGAGCACAGCACTGATCAAGGCCGGCACTGCGGCACACGAGGGGGTGGGTGGCCAGCAGCGCGCCCGGCCGCCTTTGTCTCCCCATCGGCGATGTTCACTACACACCGCACCAGGTACTCATTTGAGTCTGAGTCGACCTAGGGGAGGCCCAGGACCGGTTCAGATAATCGTCACCGGTGTTGGTGGCCACGAGCAGGAATCTAACTCAGGTCGCCGTGCTAACCGCTTTGCCACCGCTTCCCACACAAAAGACAAAGATCCCCCGTGTAGCCTCAACAGACTGTAGGGGCAAGTGCTGTTAGCGAGCAGCAGCGCCTATGAAGGCCGGCACGGCACACGAGGGCGCGATTGGCCAGCACCACGCCCGGCCGCCTGAGTCTCTCCTAGTGGCGATGTTTAAACAACTCCCCACACTCCCCACACGATACACAAGGTGATGTCACACGGTGGCGGGGAGGGGCACACGCATGTGATGAGCTTACGGGGGGGGGTGAGCTTACACGCAGTTCCTGGCAGCGAGGTCACGGTGTACCACCTCTCGCTTGGTGAGGTAGCTCATGCCGCACGCTATCTGGATGGCGATGTTCACCAGGTCTTGCTGCGATAGGCTCTGTGATGAACACAAAGACAAAGATCCCCCACATAGCGTCAACACACTGTTCGAGGCAAGTGCGGTTCGCGAGCACCTATTAAGGCCGGCACGGCACACGCGAGGGGGGTGGGTGGCCAGCACCACGCACGGCCGCCTTTGTCTCCCCAGTGGCGATGTTTACTACGCACCGCACCAGGTACTCATTTGAGGCTGAGTCGACCTAGGGGAGGCCCATGACCGGTTCAGATAACCGGGTATGCAACGCGGGTCGCCGGGTTCATAGAGCATTGCGCTAACCGCTGCACCACCACTCGCCATTCTGTGCCGAACGCACGCACGCGCACACACACACGCGCGCACACGCACACACGCACACACACACACACGCATGCACACACACGCGCGCACACACGCACGCGCACACACGCACACACACGCACACGCATGCACACGCACGCACACACACGCACACACACGCGCACACGCACGCACACACACACACGCACACGCACGCACACACACACACGCACACGCACGCGCACACACACACGCACACACACACACACACGCACGCACACGCATGCACACACACGCGCGCACACACGCACGCGCACGCACACACACACACGCACACGCACGCACACACACGCACACACACGCACGCACACACACGCACGCGCGCACACACACACGCACGCATGCGCACACACACACACACGCACACACACACACGCACACACACGCACGCACACACACACACGCACGCACACACACGCACGCGCGCACACACACACGCACGCATGCGCACACACACACACACGCACGCACACACACGCACACACACACACGCACGCACACACGCACACACACGCACACGCACGCACCCACACACACACGCACACACGTACGCGCGCACGCACACACACGCACGCACACCGTCATCAGCCCGGAATAATCCACGACTGGATGAACGGCCTCTACAATCCGCAACAACCCATCGCGGGCGAAATCTTCCACGCAAAGTAATTCCGCGGCTCCATCTCCGTGGCGGCCCGTGCAATCGGCAAAAAGCACATCGCGCCCCTTGGCCGATTCTCCCATCACGCTCCTCACCATCGGCTATCATCGCCTCGTCGCACAACGCGTCGGCATACCTTCGTGATCAATACTGATCATGATTATTATTTACATTTGTTTGTAAGGCGCCTTCCACTTGATGTCTCAAGGCGTCTTGTAAGATTACAAGAATGTAGAGCTGAATAGAATGAACGGACTTAGGAAGGACGTGGTTTTGTTTTAGACAGGCGCGTTAAAAGTTATCCAAATTTTCTTGCCCGTGGTTTTCACACCTGATGATGATTGCTTGTGTTGCTAGTCGAAACGTCGTGAGAATTGTATTGTTTTATATTTTTATTATTTTATTGTTTCCCTTCTACGTGGTGACTTTGCCGAAAGAACCAAGAATATGAATCCCTGCAGTCACGAAAGCTTTAAATCAAAATGTATCCACATTTTCTCTGGTTCTTTCGGTAAAGTCGCGTAGAATGAGAATAAAATAATAAATTAATAAAATAACACGATAAAATTCTCATGACGTTTCGGCCACAACACAAGTGGCCTTCTTTAGGTGAAAGGAACAGATCTGTCGGGACGACAGAGCTGTCGTGATAATTTTAGTGTTATTTTATTAATTTATTATTTTATTCTCATTCTACGTGACTTTACCGAAAGAACCAAAGAAGATGAATCCCTGCAACTCACGAAAGCTTCAAATCGAAATTCATCCACACTGTCGGTGAAACGGATTTCCCCAAACGGCAGGGAATTGCACAAGCGAGGCGCAAACGCAACAATGCCGTGCACGGCAGAGGTGAATACAAATGCATCACCACTCCGACTGTGCCCCACCCCCCCCCCCGATGAAGCTGCCGCTGGTTGTCGCCGTCGGTGTCGTAACAGCCGGCGAAACAGTCGCGGCTACTCGAACAGCAAGCGCTGCAGCGGGTTCCACCTCTCCCGACAACACAGCCACAACTGGCTACGGACTGGCCACGTTTTGTTCACGTGACAAACCCCCCCAGACTAAAAATGGACGCGTCGGGTGACGTTGGCGGCAGCGGATGTGACGACGCATTGAGATTCACGCGCGCCAACCCCCAACGACTGCGATTACGGATCCCGCTAGCCACGGCGCGTCCTACCCAAGGCCTCTTTACTTCCCTCAACGGGCGGCGCTGGCGGCTGTTGGTGGTGCTGGCGGTGGCGGTGACGATGGTGGTGCTCGCGATACCGGCAGTGGTAGTTGTGGTGGTGGTGGTAGCGGTGTTGGCGTTGCTACTGGTGTGGTCGCGGTGGTGTCCAGGTGAGTACACCTGTAGGGGGGTTTAGCAACCCTGTGGATGTGATGGTGGTGTTGTTGTCGTAATTGGTGGTGTTGGTGGTATTATCGTTGGTGGTGTTGTTGTTGGCAGTGTTGTTGTTGTTGTTGTTAGTAGTGTTGTTGTCGTTGTTGGCGGTGTTGTCATGATTGTTTTTGTTATTGTTGTTGCCGGTAGTGGTGTTGTTGGTGTTGTTGGCCGTGTTGTTTTTGTTGGCAGCGTTGTTGTAGGCGGTGTTATTATTGTTGTTGTTGTTATTATTGCTGGTGGCAGTGTTGTTGTTGTCGTGTTATTGTTGTTGTTGATGCCTGTGTTGTTGTTGTTGGCGGTGTTGTTGTTGTTGTCGGTGTTATTGATGTTGTTGATGCCTGTGTTGTTGTTGTTGGCAGTGTTGTTGTTGTTGTTGATGCCTGTGTTGTTGTTGTTGTCGGTGTTATTGTTGTTGTTGTTGATGCCTGTGTTGTTGTTGTTGGCGGTGTTATTGTTGTTGTTGATGCCTGTGTTGTTGTTGTTGTCGGTGTTATTGTTGTTGTTGATGCCTGTGTTGTTGTTGTTGGTGGTGTTGTTGTTGTTGTTGTTGGCCACCTGTGGGTTGTTGGCCTCGGCCAGCTTGCACTGGCGAAGGAAGAGTTTCAGGTTGCCCCAGCTCATGAGCGGCAGCAGCACGAGGGGACGCTCGCCGTCGTCCACGCACACCGCACAGATCGGCAGAAGGTTCCTCATCACGCACACACACACAGCCAACATCATCATCATCATCACACACACACACAGCCAACATCATCATCATCATCACACACACACACTCACCATCACACACACACTCACCATCATCACACACACACACACACTCACCATCACACACACACTCACACAGTCAACATCATCATCATCACACACACACACCATCATCACACACACACAGTCAACATCATCATCATCACACACACACACACTCACCATCACACACACACTCACAGTCAACATCACCATCACACACACACACACCATCACACACACACTAACACAGTCAACATCATCATCATCACACGCACTCACCATCATCACACACACACAGTCAACATCATCATCATCATCATCACACACACACTCACCATCATCACACACACACAGTCAACATCATCATCATCATCACACACACACACTCACCATCACACACACTCACTCACCATCACACACACACACTCAACATCATCACACACACACACAGTCAACATCATCATCACACACACACACTGAACATCATCACACACACACACTCACCATCACACACACACACTCACCATCATCATCATCACACACACTCACCATCACACACACAGTCAACATCATCATCACACACACTCACCATCACACACACAGTCAACATCATCATCATCACACACTCACCATCACACACACAGTCAACATCATCATCATCATCACACACACTCAGCATCACACACACACACTCACCATTATCTCACACACACACACAGTCACCATCAACACACACACACACTCACCATCACACACACACAGTCAACATCATCATCATCACACACACTCACCATCACACACACACACACTCACCATCATCACACACACAGCCAACATCATCATCATCACACACACACACACTCACCATCACACACACACTCACCATCATCACACACACACACAGTCAACATGATCATCACACACACACACTCACCATCACACACACACACTCACCATTATCTCACACACACACAGTCAACATCATCATCATCACACACACACTCACCATCACACACACACTCACCATTATCTCACACACACACACAGTCAACATCATCATCACACACACACTCACCATCACACACACACACACAGTCAACATCATCACCATCACACACACACACTCACCATCACACACACACACTCACCATCATCACACACACACAGTCAACATCATCACACACACACTCACCATCATCACACACACACACTCACCATCATCACACACACACACCATCATCACACACACAGTCAACATCATCATCACACACACACTCACCATCACACACACTCAACATCATCACACACACACACTCACCATCACACACACACACACTCACCATCATCACACACACACACACAGTCACCATCATCATCATCATCACACACACTCACCATCACACACACACTCACCATTATCTCACACACACACACAGTCAACATCATCATCATCACACACACTCACCATCACACACACACAGTCAACATCATCACCATCACACACACACACTCACCATCACACACACACACTCACCATCATCACACACACACAGTCAACATCATCACACACACACTCACCATCATCACACACACACACACTCACCATCATCACACACACACACTCACCATCATCACACACACAGTCAACATCATCATCACACACACACTCACCATCACACACACACACACTCAACATCATCACACACACACACTCACCATCACACACACACACACACTCACCATCATCACACACACACACACACAGTCACCATCATCATCATCATCATCACACACACTCACCATCACACACACACACTCACCATCATCACACACACACACACAGTCAACATCATCACACACACACACAGTCAACATCATCATCATCACACACACACACACTCACCATCACACACACACACTCACCATCCTCACACACACACACAGTCAACATCATCACACACACACACAGTCAACATCATCATCATCACACACACACACTCACCATCACACACACACAGTCACCATCATCATCACACACACACACAGTCACCATCATCATCATCACACACACACACTCACCATCACACACACACACTCACCATCATCTCACACACACACTCACCATCACACACACAGTCACCATCACACACACAGTCACCATCATCACACACACACACACAGTCACCATCATCACACACACACACAGTCACCATCATCTCACACACACACACTCACCATCACACACACAGTCACCATCATCATCACACACACAGTCACCATCATCATCACACACAGTCACAATCATCATCACACACACAGTCACCATCATCACACACACAGTCACCATCATCACACACACAGTCACAATCATCATCACACACACACTCACCATCATCACACACACAGTCACCATCATCATCACACACACACTCACCATCACCATCACACACACAGTCACCATCACACACACAGTCACCATAATCACACACACAGTCACCATCATCATCACACACACTCACCATCACACACACACACAGTCACCATCATCACCATCGTCACACACACACTCACCATCATCACCATCGTCACACACACACAGTCACCATCACACACACACAGTCACCATCATCATTACACACACACACAGTCACCATCATCAGACACACACACACAGTCACCATCATCACACACACAAACAGTCACCATCACAAAAAACCAGTCATCATCACACACACACAGTCACCATCACCATCACACACACACAGTCATCATCACACACACACACAGTCACCATCACACACACACAGTCACCATCACCATCACACACACACACAGTCATCATCACACACACACACACACAGTCACCATCACCATCACACACACACAGTCACCATCACCATCACACACACACAGTCACCATCACCATCACACACACACAGTCACCATCACACACACAGTCACCATCACACACACAGTCACCATCACACACACACAGTCACCATCATCATCACACACACACACAGTCACCATCACACACAGTCACCATCACACACAGTCACCATCACACACACACACACAACCCGTCATCATCACACACACAGTCACCATCATCATCACACACACAGTCACCATCACACACAGTCACCATCATCACACACACACACAGTCACCATCATCATCACACACACACAGTCACCATCATCACACACACACAGTCACCATCATCATCACACACACACAGTCACCATCATCACACACACACACACAGTCACCATCATCACACACACACAGTCACCATCATCACACACACACACACACAGTCACCATCATCACACACACACACACAGTCACCATCATCACACACACACTCACCATCATCACACACACACACTCACCATCACACACACAGTCACCATCATCATCACACACACAGTCACCATCATCACACACACAGTCCATCATCATCACACACACACACACACAGTCACCATCACACACACAGTCACCATCATCATCACACACACAGTCACCATAATCACACACACAGTCACCATCATCACACACACAGTCACCATCATCATCACACACACACTCACCATCATCACACACAGTCACCATCATCATCACACACACACTCACCATCACCATCACACACACACAGTCACCATCACACACACAGTCACCATAATCACACACACAGTCACCATCATCATCACACACACAGTCACCATCACACACACACAGTCACCATCACACACACACAGTCACCATCACACACACAGTCACCATCATCATCACACACACACTCACCATCACCATCACACACACACTCACCATCACCATCACACACAGTCACCATCATCACACACACAGTCACCATCACCATCACACACACAACCCATCATCATCATCATCACCACCATCATCACCATTACCATCATCATCATCACCACCGCCATCATCACCGTCATCATCACTATTATCCCCACCGTCATCATCATCAATACCATCTCCGTCACCATCACCATTACCGTCATCATCACCATCATCATTACTGCCATCATTGTTATCATCGTCACCACCGTCATCACCATCTCCACCATCAAAGACAAAGATCCCCCATATAACCTTAACAGACTATTGGGGCAAGTGCTGGTAGCGAGTAGCCCCTATGAAGGCCGGAACAGCACACAAGGGGGTGGCCAGCACCACACCCGGCCGCCTTTGTCTCCCCAGTGGCGATGTTCACACGCCGCACCAGGTGCTCATTTGAGGCCGAGTCGTCCTAGAGGAGACCCAGTACCGGTTCCGATAATCCTCACTGGGTGTTGGCCGTGAGCGGGAGTCGAACTCGGGTCACTGGGTTCGTAGCGCAGCGTAGCGCTAACGACTACACGACTGGTGAGATGATGATGATGGTGTAGCGTTGTGTGTATGCACGTCTGTACGTCTGCGTGTCTGGGTGTTGAACTTGTTCCGCACCACCGTACGTGGCACACCGCGCTAACCCGATGTTGCCCCCCGCGTCTCACCGGTGGTGCAGCCCTCGTAGCTTGCAGCTCTCCGTGAGCATGAGGACAATCTGAACCTCGGAGGCGTGCTCTGTGGGGGGGGGGGGGGGTCACAGGGTCACACGGGGGGGTCACAGGGTCACACAGGGTCACACAGGGGGGGTCACAGGGTCACACAGGGGGGGTCACAGGGTCACACAGGGGGGTTACAGGGTCACACGGGGGGGTCACAGGGTCACACAGGGGGGGTCACAAGGTCACACAGGGGGGGTCATAGGGTCACACAGGGGGGTCACAGAGTCACACAGGGGGGGTCACAGGGTCACACAGGAGGGGTCACAGGGTCACACAGGGGGGGTCACAGGGTCACACAGGGGGGGTCACAGGGTCACACAGGGGGGTCACAGGGTCACACGGGGGGGTCACAGGGTCACACAGGGGGGGTCACAAGGTCACACAGGGGGGGTCATAGGGTCACACAGGGGGGTCACAGAGTCACACAGGGGGGGTCACAGGGTCACACAGGAGGGGTCACAGGGTCACACAGGGGGGGTCACAGGGTCACACAGGGGGGGTCACAGGGTCACACAGGGGGGTCACAGGGTCACACGGGGGGGGGTCACAGGGTCACACAGGGGGGGGTCACAGGGTCACACAGGTGGGGTCACAGGGTCACGCAGGGGGGGTCACAGGGTCACACAGGTGGGGTCACAGCGTCACACAGGGGGGTCACAGGGTCACACGGGGGGGTCACAGGGTCACACAGGTGGGGGGGTCACAGGGTCACATAGGGGGGGTCACAGGCCTCAGATACATCCCCCCTCTCCGCGTGTTTGCCGAGGAGATGGAGAGATTGGCGAGATGTTAACTATCTTGCCCGGTGTACAGGAGGTCGTGGCTTCGATACCAACCCTGATGTCTGTTGTATATTTGGAGCTCGCCTGTCCCCCTCTCGCTCTCTTCCCCCATGGTCGCGTGGATTTTCCTCCGTGCCCTCCAGTTTTTCCCTCCACGTTTAGCATTATCAGCGCGCGCTCAGAGCATTCGGCTATTGCTTTAAATTTCCACACGATGATAAGCCACTTCGCTCAGCTATCATTTGTGACGGCCAGGATCGCTCTCTGAAAGAGAGCTACGTAGCTCAGTCACCTGGTAAAAAATAAAAAATAAAAATTGTTTATGCAGGCGCTGGGCGAAAGATCCGTGGGAGGCTGCGGAGGATTGTGGGGGCCATTCGTCCAGCAGCGGATCGACCATGGCTGAAGAAGACGTGCGTGTGTGTGCCTGCGCGTGTGTGTGTGTGTGCATGTGTGTTCGTGTGTGTGTGCGCGTGTGTGCGTGCGCGTGTGTGTGTGTGTGTGCGTGTGTGTGTGTGCGTGTGTGTGTGTGCCTGCGCGTGTGCGTGCATGTGTGCGTGTGTGTGCATGTGCGTGTGTGTGCATGTGTGCGCGTGTGTGTGCTTGTGTGCGTGTGTGTGCTATGTGTGTGTGTGTGTGTGCCTGCGCGTGTGCGTGTGTGTGCATGTGTGTGTGTGCATGTGTGTGCGTGCATGTGTGCGCGTGTGTGCCTGCGCGTGTGCGTGCGTGCGTGCGTGCGTGCGTGTGTGCGTGTGTGCGTGCGTGCGTTCGCCACAGAACGGGGAGTGGTAGCGGAGCGGCCAACGCGCCGTGAACCCGGCGGCCCGAGTTGGAATCCCGCTCAGGGCCAGCGGGCCCCATCTCGAGTTGGAAGACGCAGACGAGTCAAGGGACTCGGGCTGAACAATCACGAGGGATCACAATGATGACACTCTTCACAAGCAGCTGTCCCCTGTGTGGCAGGAGGAGGACTCTCGGCCTGCAGGCGGGCGCCGACTCTACTGCCAGCCGGGGCCGATGATTTGCCACCGTGTGCGCGTTTTGAGTGCACGGGGAGCGGCGGTGCAGCGGTTAGCGCGCTGCGCTGAGAACCGTCGACCACGGCTGGCTACGTACCGTTGACGGTTTTGACGAACACCTCCTTCTCCACCTTGGGGTCCTTCTCATCGAGGAGCACACCGTGGTAGATCCTGCCAAACGTCCCTGTCGCCACCAACACAAAGATCCAACAGCGTAGCCTTAACGGACTGTTGGGGCAAGTGCTGTCTCAAGCGAGTAGCGGGGTTCATGGCGCGGCGCGCTAACCGCGACAACCACCGTGCACGCACGCGCCGGCCGTCAAGCAAGCAGCTGTGGGCGTGTGCGCGAGTGGGGAGCGGTGGTGCAGCGGTTAGCGCTACGCTGCGCTACGAACCCAGTGAGCCGGGTTCGATTCCCGCTCACGGCCACCAACACCGGTGACGATCGTCTGAATCTGGCACTGGGTCTTTCCAAGGTCGACTTAGCCTCAAATGAGCAGCTGGTGCAGTGTAAAGTAATCATCGCTACTGGGGAGACAAAGGCGGCCGGGCGTGGCGCTGGCCACCCAGCCCCTCGTGTGCTGCTCGCTCACAGCACTTGCTTCAACCAGTCGGTGTGAGCTACACGGGGCACCTGTGTCTGTGTCTGTGTGTGTGTGGTGCATCGGCCGGTCATCACAGTCAGTCGACCCATGGCACCTGAGGGTCTGTCCCGTGACCTCCTGCCAGCGGGCATTCGACACTTCACGTGGCTTTAACGTGCACATGGCCTGGCACAAGCATCGTGGTGACGTCACCGCCACTTAGTGGCGAATGGCGGTTGTTGTTGTCTGTGTGTGTGTCTGTAATGGGGAGCGATAGTGTAGCGGTTAGCACGCTGTGCTACGAACCTGGCGACCCGAGTTCGATTCCCGCTCACGGCAAAGACCAGTGACGATTATCTGAACCGGTCCCGGGCCTCCCCTAGGTCGACTCAGCCTAAAATGAGTACCTGGTGCGATGTGTGAGCATCGCCACTGGGGAGACAAAGGCGGCCGGTCGTGGTGCTGGCCACCCACCCCCTCGTGTGCCGTGCCGGCCTTCATAGGTGCTCGCTAACAGCCCTACAGTCTGTTAAGGCTACACGGGGGATCTTTGTCTTTGTCTTTTTGTATCTGTGTGCGTCTGTCTGTGTGTGTCTGTCTGTCTGTGTGCATCTGTGTATATCTGTGTGTGTGTCTGCGTGTGTGCGTGCGTCTGTTTATATCTGTATGTGTGTGTCTGCGTGTCTGCGTGTGTGCGTGCGTCTGTGTATGTCTGTGTGTATGTCTGTGTGTGTGTCTGCGTGTCTGTGTGCGTCTGTGTATATCTGTGTGTGTGTCTGCGTGTGTGCATGCGTGTGTGCGTGCGTCTGTGTATATCTGCGTGTGTGTCTGCGTGCGTCTGTGTATATCTGTGTGTGTGTGTGCATGTCTGAGTGTGTGCGTGCGTCTGTGCATATCTGTGTGTGTGTCTGCGTGTGTGCGTGCGTCTGTGTATATCTGTGTGTGTGTCTGCGTGTCCGTGTGTGTGTGTGCGTGTGTGTATGTCTGTGTGTGTGTCTGCGTGCGTCTGTGTATATGTGTGTGTGTGTGTCTGCATGTGTGTGTGCGTCTGTGTATATCTGTGTGTGTGTGTCTGTGTGCGTTTGTGTATATCTGTGTGTGTGTGTGTCTGTGTATATCTGTGTGTGTCTGTGTGTCTGCGTGTCTGTGTGCATCTGTGTATATCTGTGTTTGTCTGCGTGTGTGCTTGCGTCTGTGTATATCTGTGTGTGTGTGTGTGCGTGCGTCTATGTATATCTGTGTGTGTGTGCGTCTGTGTATATCTGTGTGTTGTGCATGCGTCTGTGTATATCTGTGTGTGTGTGTGTGCGGCTGTGTATATCTGTGTGTGTGCGTGCGTCTGTGTATATCTGTGTGTGTGTGTGTGCGTGCGTCTGTGTATATCTGTGTGTGTGTGTGCGTGCGTCTATGTATATCTGTGTGTGTGTGTGCGTCTGTGTATATCTGTGTGTGTGTCTGCGTGTCTGTGTGTGTGTGTGCGTCTGTATATCTGTGTGTGTGTCTGCGTGTCTGTGTGTGTGCGTGCATCTGTGTATATCTGTGTGTGTGTGTGCCTGCATCTGTGTATGTCTGTGTGTATGTGCGTGCGTCTGTGTATGTATGTGTGTGTGTGCGTACGTCTGTCTATATCTGCGTGTTTGCGTGCGTCTGTGTATATCTGTGTGTGTGTCTGTGTATATCTGTGTGTGTGTGCGTGCGGCTGTGTATATCTGCGTGTGTGTGTGTGCGTCTGTGTATATCTGCGTGTGTGTCTGCATGTCTGTGTGTGTGCGTGCTTCTGTGTATATCTGTGTGTGTGCGTGCGTCTATGTATATCTGTGTGTGTGTGCATGTGCGTGCGGCTGTGTATATCTGCGTGTGTGTGTGCGTCTGTGTATATCTGCGTGTGTGTGTGTGTGCGTGCATGTATATCTGCGTGTGTGTGCGTGCGTGCGTCTATGTATATCTGCGTGTGGGTGTGTGTGCGTCTGTGAATATCTGTGTGCATGCGTCTGTGTATATCTGTGTGTGTGTGCGTGCGGCTGTGTATATCTGCGTGTGTGCATGCGTCTGTGTATATCTGTGTGTGTGTGCGTGCGGCTGTGTATATCTGCGTGTGTGTGTGTGCGTGCGTCTGTGTATATCTGCGTGTGTGTGTGTGCGTGCGGCTGTGTATATCTGCGTGTGTGTGTGTGTGTGCGTGCGTATGTGTATATCTGTGTGTGTGCGTGCGTCTGTGTATATCTGTGTGTGTGCGTGCGTCTGTGTATATCTGCGTGTGTGTGTGCGTCTGTGTATATCTGTGTGTGTGTATATCTGTGTGTGTGTGTGTATATCTGTGTGTGTGTGTGTATATCTGTGTGTGTGTGTGTGCGCGTACCTTCCTGCAGCACCTGCTTGAGCGTGACTCTCTCGCGCGCCACCGCGATGTCCCGCACGCGACTCTTCGCCTCCGGCAGGTTCAGCGGCTTCAGGTCGTTCTTCTCAATCTTCAGGCTCGGGTAGTCTACTCGGAGGCGGGGGAGGGGGGGGGCAGGGCGAAGGTGCAGGGGGCAGGGACGTCGGTCAGAGGGGCAGCGCCGTTAAGAGGGCCTGGGCAGCGATCGTTCAGCGACGGGGGTGGCAGCCACAGCATGGCAACGCTCACTCAGCCTCCGGCTCCAGGGTGTCGCGAGGGCCCCGGGCCCGGTGAGCAGGGGGGGCCGGGTCAGGTACGGGGCCCACGACCCTCGCTTGGCGCTGCCCCACGGAGGTGCACTCTTAAAACTGCGCGCAACATTTCTAGTAAACATCGCCACTGGGGAGACGAAGGCGGCCCGGGGGTGCTGGCCACCCACCCCATCGTGCGCCGTGCCGGCCTTCATAGGCGCTGCTGCTGCTGCTGCTGTTCGATAACAGCACTTGCCCCGAGGTTCTGTTGTGGAGGCTAGAAACTCTTAAACTATTTTGTTTTATTTCAGCAGACGTAAGGCCCCCCCCCCCGCCCCCCCCCCCCAGTGCACTGCTGCGAAGTGTCCAGGCCGTCACGAATGACAGCTCAACAAAGTGGTTCATCATCTTTTGATTTAAAGCTTTCGTGACTGCAGGGATTCATATTCTTGGTTCTTTCGGTAAAGTCACCACCACGTAGAAGGGAGACAATAAATAATAAAAAATATAAAACAATAAAATTCTCACGACGTTTCGACTGCAACACAAGCAATCATCATTAGGTGTGAAAACCACAGCAAGAAAATTTGAAAAAAGTGGCGGTTATTTTTAACGTTAGCACCACGGAGAGCGATTTGACAGTTTATTCAGATGGACGAGTCCATCTATGTTCGGAAAAGAGGAGGGGGGGAGACGAAAAATAATGGATGCGGTCTGAAAGTCACCGTAAGCGTGATCACTCAATTAAGACCCGAAATGGTTTATCAAATCCTTCCAATGGTTGCTAAGCCAGAATCCATCTTCTGGTTCATCATCATCAACGTCATCACCATCGTCATAATCATCCGCGTGTTTACCGCACCTCGGATGAGCACAGATGGCTAGGTACGGTGCGAAAGGAGTTCAACAAATATTCTCTATGGTTCTCTTGGTAAAGTCACGTAGGTAAAAAAGAAAAACTAAAGTAATAGGTTTTTACCCTTTTTAGCTGGCACAAAAACTGACACCTTTATACAAGGGGATCATGTTTGCAATAACCACAACACAAGTAGTCAAAATGCAAACAAAAAGAGACAACTCTGATAATGATATTGGCACTGTCCTTGAATTTGATTGATCCACACCCGAGACGGCTTTTCTTAGAGCCTAGTCTCCACTGGTGTTGGACCAGATGACACCATAAGACGTACAACTCAAAAACAGCGCACTATCAGAGTATTGAGAGCTCGGGGTAAGCCTTTACACTAAAAGACCTCCTTTGCCAGTAACAAGATATAGTAATAGGTTTTTACCCTTTTAGCTGGCACAAAAACTGACACCTTTATACAAGGGATCATGTTTGCTATAACCACATAACCACATAAAGGTGTCAGGAGCAACACGAGGAGTGATGTGAGGAGTGATGTAAGGGGTGACACAAGGGGGGACGTGAGGGGTGACGTGATGGGTGACGTGATGGGTGACGTGAGGGGTGACGTGAGGGGTGACAAGAGGGGTGACGTGAGGGGTGACACAAGGGGTGACGTGAGGGTGACACAAGGGGTGACGTGAGGGGTGACACAAGGGGTGACACAAGGGGTGACGTGAGGGGTGACGTGAGGGGTGACGTGAGGGGTGACGTGAGGGGTGACACAAGGGGTGACGTGAGGGGTGACGTGAGGGGTGACGTGAGGGGTGACGTGAGGGGTGATGGGTGACATGAGGGGTGACGTGAGGGGTGACGTGAGGTGACATGAGGGGTGAGGTGAGGGGTGACGTGAGGGGTGACGTGAGGGGTGATGACATCGTACTGGTGATGGGCGCTGCGTTGTTGGGAGTGTCCGCACGGAGGCACTGCGTGGTCTGTGTGGACGGCTGAGACAGCCCCTGGGTGCTCTCACTGTCAAACAGGCTGCACGCGGGACACACGGTACACACACACACACAGTATAAACACACACGTAGTATATACACACGGTACACACACACACACGGTATAAACACACACGTAGTATATACACACGGTACACACACACAGTATAAACACACACGTAGTACATACACACGGTACACACACACACACGGTATAAACACACACGTAGTATATAAACACGGTACACACACACACGGTATAAACACACACGTAGTATATACACATGGTACACACACACACACGTAGTATATACACACGGTACACACACACACACGGTATAAACACACACGTAGTATATACACACGGTACACACACACGGTATAAACACACACATAGTATATACACACGGTACACACACACACAGTATATACACACGGTACACACACACACACATGTAGTATATACACATGGTACACACACACACGTAGTATAAACACACGGTACACACACACGTATATACACACGGTATACACACACACGTAGTATATACACACGGTACACACACGTAGTATATACACACGGTACACACACGTAGCATATACACACGGTACACACACACACGTAGTATAAAAACACGGTACACACACACACGTAGTATATACACACGGTACACACACACACGATACACACACACGTAGTATATACACACACACGTAGTATACACACGGTACACACACACACGTAGTATATACACATGGTACACACACACGGAACACACACACACGTAGTATATACACACGGTACACACACACACGTAGTATATACACACGGTACACACACACACACATAGTATATACACATGGTACACACACACACGTAGTATATACACACAGTACACACACACGTAGTATATACACACGGTACACACACACACACATAGTCTATACACACGGTACACACACACACGTAGTATATACACACGGTACACACACGCGCGGTATAAACACACAGTACACACACACACAGTACACACACACATGTAGTATATACACACGGTACACACACACACGTAGTATATACACATGGTACACACACACACGTAGTATAAACACACGGTACACACACACACACGTAGTATACACACGGTACACACACACACGTAGTATACACACGGTACACACACACACACGTAGTATATACACACGGTACACACACGGTACACACACACGTAGTATAAACACGCGGTACACACACACGGTACATACACACACATAGTATATACACACGGTACACACACACACACGTAGTATACACACGGTACACACACACACGTAGTATATACACACGGTACACACACGGTACACACACACGTAGTATAAACACGCGGTACACACACACGGTACATACACACACGTAGTATATACACACGGTACACACACACACACACGTAGCATATACACACGGTACACACACACGTAGTATATACACACGGTACACACACACACGTAGTATATACACACGGTACACACACACACGTAGTATAAACACACGGTACACACACACACGTAGTATATACACACGGTACACACACACACACACGTAGTATATACACACACACACACGTAGTATATACACACGGTACACACACACACGTAGTATATACACACGGTACACACACACGGTACACACAAACGTAGTATATACACACGGTACACACACACGTAGTATAAACACACAGTACACACACACACGTAGTATAAACACACAGTACACACACACACGTAGTATATACACACGGTACACACACACGTAGTATATACACACACGGTACAACCACACATGTAGTATATACACACACGGTACACACACACACACATAGCATAAATACACAGTACACACACACGCGGTATAAACACACGGTGCACACACACACACACACAAGTAGTATAAACGTACACACATGGCACACGCGCACGGCACAGGCGCACACGCGCACACACACGGCACACACACGATCCACACACGGCACACACGGTCCACACACGCGTGGCACATGCACGGCACACACGCGGCACATGCACGGTCCACACACACACGGTCCACACACGGTCCACACACGCGGCACACACACACACGCGGCACACACACGGTCCACACACGGTCCACACACACACGGTTCACACACGGTCCACACACGCGGCACACACGGGCGAGGGCTGCTGCGCACTCACGCCTCACCTGTCCTCCTCCACCTTCTTCATGCTGTGGATGTGCAGCAGCGCCAGGACGAGCGCCACCAGGAAGATGACGGCGCAGCAGACGCCCACGCTGATGTAGAAGACGCGCGTGGACGTCGTCGCCGCCGCCACCACCGCCGTCGCACCGTGCCCGTCTGGTGGCGCGGACACAACAACAACGTCAACAACAACAACAACGTCAACAACAACAACGTCAACAACAACGTCAACAACAACAACGTCAACAACAACAACGTCAACAACAACAACAACAACGTCAACAACAACGTCAACAACAACAACGTCAACAACAACAACGTCAACAACAACAAAAACAACGTCAACAACAACAAAAACAACGTCAACAACAACAACAACGTCAACAACAACAACAACGTCAACAACAACAACAACGTCAACAACAACAACAACGTCAACAACAACAACGTCAACAACAACAACAACAACGTCAACAACAACAACAACGTCAACAACAACAACGTCAACAACAACGTCAACAACAACAACAACGTCAACAACAACAACAACAACGTCAACAACAACAACAACAACGTCAACAACAACAACGTCAACAACAACAACGTCAACAACAACAACAACGTCAACAACAACAACAACAACGTCAACAACAACAACAACGTCAACAACAACAACAACGTCAACAACAACAACAACGTCAACAACAACAACAACGTCAACAACAACAACGTCAACAACAACAACGTCAACAACAACGTCAACAACAACAACAACGTCAACAACAACAACGTCAACAACAACAACAACAACGTCAACAACAACAACGTCAACAACAACAACAACAACGTCAACAACAACAACAACGTCAACAACAACGTCAACAACAACAACAACGTCAACAACAACAACGTCAACAACAACGTCAACAACAACAACGTCAACAACAACAACAACGTCAACAACAACAACAACATCAACGTCAACAACAACGTCAACAACATCAACGTCAACAACAACGTCAACAACAACAACAACGTCAACAACAACAACAACGTCAACAACAACAACAACAACGTCAACAACGTCAAGAAAGTCAACAACAACAACGTCAACAACAACAACGAGGACAACAACAACGTCAACAACGACAACAATAACAACAACGAGGACAACAACAACAACAACGACTACAACAACGTCAACAACAACGTCAACAACAACAACGTCAACAACAACAACGTCAACAACAACGTCAACAACAACATCAACAACGTCAACAACAACGTCAACAAGCGGCGGGGGCACCACCACAGTAATCGCAACAACAACCACAATAACAAGCGGCGGCGTGCGTTTGGGTGCGTGTGTGGATGCGCGTGCGTGCGTGTGTGTGCGTACGTATGTATGCGTGCGTGTGTGTGTGTGTGTGCTTGCATGTGTGTGCATGTGTGTGCGTGTGTGTGTGCGTGTGTGTGCTTGCAAGTGTGTGCGTGCGTGCGCGTGTGTGCGTGCGTGCGCGTGTGTGTGCGTGCATGTGCGTGTGTCCGGTTTCTCACCGGTGGATGGACCGAGTGGTCCCTCATCCAGTTCGGCTTCTGCAGAGAACACAGAGGGGGGGCGGTCACGTGTACAGGAGGTCACGTGTACAGGAGGTCACGCGCACAGGAGTTCACGTGTACAGGTGGTCACGTGTACAGGAGGTCACGTGTACAGGAGGTCACGTGTACAGGAGGTCACGTGTACAGGTCACGTGTACAGGAGGTCACGCGTACAGGAGGTCACGTGTACAGGAGGTCACGTGTACAGGAGGTCACGTGTACAGGTGGTCACGTGTACAGGTGGTCACGTGTACAGGAGGTCACGTGTACAGGAGGTCACGTGTACAGGTGGTCACGTGTACAGGTGGTCACGTGTACAGGTGGTCACGTGTACAGGAGGTCACGCGTACAGGAAGTTACGCTGACAGCCGGTTAACTGGACGGGCGGTTAAGGGTAAAGGCGGATAACTGGACAGGCGGTTATGCGGACAGGTAGGGGGTTGAGGAGACGAGACAGGACGCGCGTGTGCATGCGTGCGTGCGTGCGTGTACGTGTGTGTGTGTGCGCGTGTATGAGTGCGTGCGTGCGTGCGTGCGCGTACGTCGGGAGCAGGATTTCCGCCGCTTGAAGTTGAGGGTGGTGACGTTTTTCCCGGCCGCGGTGGCGGTGGCGGTGGAGGTGGCGGTGGAGGTGGCGGTGGAGGTGAGGTTCAGCTGCATGAGCAGTGCCACGTCGCTCTCAACGCGGCCCGTGCAGGGCAGGGTCACGCGGAACACTGGGACACGGGGGGCACACACGGTGAGACAAGGTGAGACAAGGTGAGACGTGGTGAGACACGGGGACACGGTGAGACACGGGGACACGGTGAGACAAGGTGAGACAAGGTGAGACGTGGTGAGACACGGTGAGACACGGTGAGACAAGGTGAGACAAGGTGAGACGTGGTGAGACACGGTGAGACGTGGTGAGACACGGTGAGACGTGGTGAGACACGGTGAGACGTGGTGAGACACGGTGAGACACGGGGACACGGTGAGACAAGGTGAGACAAGGTGAGACGTGGTGAGACACGGTGAGACAAGGTGAGACGTGGTGAGACAAGGTGAGACGTGGTGTGACACGGTGAGACACGGTGAGACACGGGGACACGGTGAGACAAGGTGAGACAAGGTGAGACGTGGTGAGACACGGTGAGACAAGGTGAGACAAGGTGAGACGTGGTGAGACAAGGTGAGACGTGGTGTGACACGGTGAGACACTGTGAGACACGGGGACACGGTGAGACACGGTGAGACACGGTGAGACACGGGGACACGGTGAGACAAGGTGAGACAAGGTGAGACGTGGTGAGACACGGGGACACAAGGTGAGACAAGGTAAGACACGGTGAGACAAGGTGAGACACGGGGACACGGTGAGACACGAGGACACGGTGAGACACGGGGACACGGTGAGACACGGGGACACGGTGAGACACAGAGACACGGTGAGACACGGGGACACGGTGAGACACGGTGAGAGAAGGTGAGACGTGGTGAGACAAGGTGAGACGTGGTGAGACACGGGGATACGGTGAGACACGGGGACACGGTGAGACACGGGGACACGGTGAGACAAAGGTGAGACACGGGGATACGGTGAGACACGGGGACACGGTGAGACAAGGTGAGACGTGGTGAGACACAGGGACACGGTGAGACACGGGGACACGGTGAGACACGGGGGACACGGTGAGACACGGGGATACGGTGAGACACAGGGACACGGTGAGACACGGGGACACGGTGAGACACGGTGAGACAAGGTGAGACGTGGTGAGACACAGGGACACGGTGAGACACGGGGACACGGTGAGACACGGGGATACGGTGAGAGAAGGTGAGACGTGGTGAGACAAGGTGAGACGTGGTGAGACACGGTGAGACGTGGAGAGACACGGGGACACGGTGAGACACAGGGACAAGGTGAGACACGGGGACACGGTGAGACAAGGTGAGACGTGGTGAGACACGGGGACACGGTGAGACACAGGGACATGGTGAGACACGGGGACACGGTGAGACAAGGTGAGACACAGGGACACGGTGAGACACAGGGACATGGTGAGACACGGGGACACGGTGAGACACGGGGGACACGGTGAGACACGGGGATACGGTGAGACACAGGGACACGGTGAGACACGGGGACACGGTGAGACACGGTGAGACACGGTGAGAGAAGGTGAGACGTGGTGAGACAAGGTGAGACGTGGTGAGACACGGTGAGACGTGGAGAGACACGGGGACACGGTGAGACAAGGTGAGACACGGGGACACGGTGAGACACGGTGAGACAAGGTGAGACGTGGTGCGACACGGTGAGACGTGGTGAGACACGGGGACACGGTGAGACATGGTGAGACATGGTGAGAGAAGGTGAGATGTGGTGAGACACGGGGACACGGTGAGACATGGTGAGACATGGTGAGACACGGTGAGACGTGGTGAGACACGGGGACACGGTGAGACACGGGGACACGGTGAGACATGGTGAGACATGGTGAGACACGGTGAGACGTGGTGGGACGCTGTGAGGCGCAGTGAGACGCGGTGAGACACGGGAATACGGTAAGACATGGTTAGACACGGTGAGACAAGGGGACACGGTGAGACACGGTGAGACACGGTGAGACACGCTGTACATGTACAACCCGTACGTGTCCTGCATGTTGCACTTGTGTGTCCCGTACCGGAGGGGAGTCTGGGCACCTCTCCGTTCCACGTGACGTTCACCGTTGGGGGGTCCATGGCGATCGGATCGTCCACCTGGAACCCCAGCCTGTACTCCACCTGCAGCCACCACCACCATTGGCCACCACCACCACCATCAATACCATCAATAACATCAACATCATCATCTTCTTCTTCGTCTTCTTCTTTGGGTCTTTCGGTAAAGTCACGCTGATAGGTTGAAAGAAAATAACCAAAAACTACGACGTTTCGATCACAACACAAGCGACCGTCATCAGGAGGAGACAAGAGGAAAGCTGCTGAGACAGAATGTTTTAAATGTTTAAAATGTTTAAAATGGGTGCAGCTCAATGGTCATAAACGAAGTGGGTGGGACTAGTGACAGTGACAGTGTCGGTGCCGGTGACGGTGACGGTGTCGGTGACATTGTCGGTGACGGTGACGGTGACGGTGTCGGTGACGGTGTCAGTGACAGTGTCGGTGACGGTGTCGGTGTCGGTGACGGTGTAGGTGACGGTGACATTGTCGGTGACAGTGACAGTGACGGTGTTGGTGACGGTGTCGGTGTCAGTGTCGGTGCCGGTGTCGGTGCCGGTGTCGGTGCCGGTGCCAGCGCCGGCGCAGCGTGCCGCCCACCGGCGTGGACGCGTGCCAGGTGAAGTGCAGGCTGCCCATGTCCCCCGGCACAGGCAGCACGAAGGAGAAGGCGTTCTGGCAGACGACGCCATCCCGCACGTAGTACAGCTGCGCCTTCAGCCCTGCGCGCGACACAGGCAAAGGTCCCCCGTGTAGCCTTGCCAACACACTGGCAGAGGGGGCACCTACCGGGGCCGGCACTGCACACGAGAGGCGGGGAGGGGGGGGGGGCGGTGTTGGGCCTTCGTCTTCCCCAGCGGCTGACGGGATCATCCTGGCCAGAGTCGGCCGCAGAGTCGATGGGGTTTGTAGCGCCGTTCCGCGCACGGACAAGGGTCAACCCCCCCCCCCTCCACCCACTCACGCAGCACACGTCAGGGCTAATAAACTAAATTAGAAACTCTTTTTTTATATTTTGCCAGGTGTAAGGCCCCGATTGAGCTACGAGCTCTTTTTACAGAGTGACCCGGCCATCACAAATGACAGCTCAACCAAGTGGCGGATTTATAGCAGCCAAATAATCTAAATGCGTGACGTCGATTCTGAATGTGGTAGGGGAAAAACCGGAGGATCCGGAGAAAAATCCACATGACCATGGGGAGAGAGAAAGAGAGAGAGAGAGACACGCAAACTCCTGATATACAACGGGCGTTAGGGCCGGGATCGAACCCACAACCTCCTGCATACCAGGCGAGGTAGTTAACATTTACCTAGCTTCCATGATGATGAGAGAGAGAGAGACACGCAAATTCCACATATACAGCAGCAGGCGTCAGGGTTGGAATCAAACACACGACCTCCTGTATACCAGGCGAGGTAGTCAACATCTCCTAGCCACCGTGGCGCGCAGTGCCGGGCCCATCTCGGGTTGGAAGGCGCAGAGGAGTCAAGAGACTCGGTGAGGCTTTCCTGGCTAAACAATCAAGAGCGATCACAATGATGATATTCACGTCTCCGATTATAAAACGGCAACCCGCAGTGGCGGCAGCTGCCCCTGTGCGGCAGGAGGTGGTAAACCTGGGCCTGCAGGCGGCCGCCAAGTATGATGCCAGTAGGGGGCAATGATTTGCCACTGTGGGTGTGCGGGAAGCGGGCGTGGAGCGGTTAGCGCGCTGCCCTATGAACCCGGCCACCCAAGTTCGCTTCCCGCTCACGGCCACGAATACCACTGGCGATTATCTGTACCGGTTTCTGGGCCTCTCCCTAGGTCGGCGAATGAGTAACCTGGTGCGGTGTGTAGTAAACATCGCCACTGGGGAGACAAAGGGGGCCCGGGAGCGGTGTTGGTCACCCTACCCCCTCGTGTGCCGGCCTTCAAAGGTGCTGCTCGCTAACAGCACTTGCCCCAAAAGTCTGTTCAGGCTATACCCTGACGCTGGCACACGATGGCCTACGTTTCAATACAACACACTGCGGTCATGACCAGGGCGGCCTATCAAACCCGAACCACAAACAAAGACAAAGATCCCCGATATAGCCTTAACAGACTGGGGGGAAAGTGCTGCTAGCGAGTAGCAGCGCCTATGAATAACCAGAACACTCCCCCTAACTCACTGACTTGTCCCACCCACTCACAAACTCACCCACTCCCACACCCACCCACTCGCACACACACACTCGTTCACTCGTCCACTGACTAACTCACTCCCCCACCCACCTACTCACACACTCGTTCACTCACTCACTCGCTCATGTACCCACTAACTCACTCTTTCACTCACCCACTCACACACTCGTTCACTCACTTACCCACTTACTAACTCACTCCCCTACCCACCCACTCACACATTCGTTCACTCACCCACTCATTCACCCACTAACTCACTCCCCTACCCACCCACTCACCCACTCGTTCACTCACTTACCCACTTACTAACTCACTTCCCTACCAACCAACTCACACACTCGTTCACTCACCCACTCATTCACCCACTAACTCACTCCCCTACCCACCCACTCACCCACTCGTTCACTCACTTACCCACTCACTAACTCACTCCCCTACCCACCCACTCACCCACTCGTTCACTCACTTACCCACTCACTAACTCACTCCCCTACCCACCCACTCACCCACTCGTTCACTCACCTACTCACTTACTAACTCACTCCCCTACCCACCCACCTACTCACTCGTTCACTCACCCACTCATTCACCCACTAACTCACTCCCCTACCCACTCACTCACTCGCTCGTTCACTCACCCACTCACTTACTAACTCACTCCCCTACCCACCCACTCATTCGATCACTCACCCACTCATTCACCCACTAACTCACTCCCCTACCCACCCACTCACTCGCTCGTTCACTCACCCACTCACTTACTAACTCACTCCCCTACCCACCCACTCACTCGCTCGTTCACTCACCCACTCACTTACTAACTCACTCCCCTACCCACCCACTCACTCGCTCGTTCACTCACCCACTAACTCACTCCCCTACCCACCCACTCACTCACTCGTTCACTCACCCACTCATTCACCCACTAACTCACTCCCCTACCGACCCACCCACTCAATCGTTCACTCACCCACTCACCCACTCACCACCACTGCAGGTCGACCTCGCTTCTCTCCGTGTCTCAGCTGCGGAATTCCCTCCTCCTCCACCACATCAAACCGGGTCCCTCTCTCTCCCCCACAAAGCTCTGAACCCAGAACGATGACCTCGGCTCAACTCGACGGAACGCGGTCAACCTCAATATCCATCACCAACTCTGACAGCGCCGACGGTCGCTGGCCGCTTGGCGCTCCCAGCCTCACCGTGGGTCTGCGCCCGCACCGACGTCTCCTGCCAACCAGTGACGCGAGGGGGGGGGGTAAGGATGGGGGGGGTGGGAGGCTGGGGGGGGGGTGGCGCCTCGGCCGTGAGGACTCTTTTGCCCCGTACGATATTGAGGAAGTGGGTCGGTGAGCGGGTGGGTGGGTGAGCGGGTGAGTGTGTTTGTGAATGAGTGAGTTGTTGTGACCTGCAGTGTGGTGAGTGGGTGTGTTTGTGAATGAGTGGGTGAGTTGTAACCTGCATTGTGGTGAGTGAGTGGGTGAGTGTGTTTGTGAATGAGTGAGTTGTTGTGATCTACATTGTGGTGAGTGAGTGGGTGAGTGTGTTTGTGAATGAGTGAGTCGTTGTGACCTGCAGTGTGGTGAGTGAGTGGGTGAGTGTGTTTGTGAATGAGTGAGTTGTGAATGAGTTGTTGTGACCTGCATTGTGGTGAGTGAGTGAGTGTGTTTGTGAATGAGTGAGTTTGTGAATGAGTGAGTTGTGAATGAGTTGTTGTGACCTGCAGTGTGGTGAGTGAGTGGGTGAGTGTGTTTGTGAATGAGTGAGTTGTGAGTTGTTGTGATCTACATTGTGGTGAGTGAGTGGGTGAGTGTGTTTGTGAATGAGTGAGTTGTGAATGAGTGAGTTGTGAATGAGTGAGCTGTTATGACCTGCATTGTGGTGAGTGAGTGGGTGAGTGTGTTTGTGAATGAGTGAGTTTGTGAATGAGTGAGTTGTGAATGAGTGAGTTGTTGTGACCTGCAGTGTGGTGTGTGAGTGGGTGAGTGTGTTTGTGAATGACTGAGTTTGTGAATGAGTGAGTTGTTGTGGCCTGCATTGTGGTGAGTGAGTGGGTGAGTGTGTTTGTGAATGAGTGAGTTTGTGAATGAGTGAGTTGTTGTGGCCTGCATTGTGGTGAGTGAGTGTGTTTGTGAATGAGTGAGTTTGTGAATGAGTGAGTTTGTGAATGAGTGAGTTTGTGAATGAGTTGTTGTGATGATGGATGCGACTAAACGGTCGGCGTCTGCTCCAGGCCGACTCTTCAACACGGGTGGACGAATCAGCGGCTTATTTAGGAAGCCATTGGGAGCTATGCACTTTTAAATCCACCGAGATTGAAAACTCACTTCCTCAGAAACAGATTTTTAGTGTTTTGTTTGTTATCCTTGCCCCGCAATTCCGTTGAGCGCGGTCGGCAACGTACAGTGGTGCGAAAGAAGTTCAACACACACATACACCACAACACGACATCCACCATCTCACCACACCACTACAATCACCACCACCACCACCGAAGCCAACCGTGCTAATCGGAGCCCCGGGAGTCAGCGATCGAGACCCCCCCCCACTCCACACACCCCCAACGTCCCTTCTCCACCCCCTCCGCCTTCATTAGTCACTGCAGGGATAATTACCGCCGGACCCCCTCGACGCCCCCACCCCTCCCTACATACGTAGGATGAACGTCACGCGTTTTAGAGCATTTGGATTGCTGCTGTACAACTCGACACGGCGGCGGTGACGGCGATGACGGTGACGGGGCCCGGCCAGGTCGCCATCATCAGACCACCACCAGTCCACGAGCCCGTCGCGGTCAGCGCCAGCGAGCACAAGCTGCCCCCCCCGTGTCACTCCGACACTGCCACTCCCAAGGCGACTGTCGCCACACGTGACCCCTCTCACACCGCCACACGTGACCCCTCTCACACCGCCACGTGTAACTCCTCACACACCACCACACGTAACGCCTCTCACACCACCACACGTAACGCCTCTCACACCGCCACGTGTAACTCCTCACACACCGCCTCACGTAACCCCTCTCACACCGCCGCACGTAACTCCACTCACACCGCCACACGTAACGCCTCTCACACCACCACGTGTAACGCCTCTCACACCGCCACGTGTAACGCCTCTCACACCGCCACACGTAACGCCTCTCACACCACCACACGTAACGCCTCTCACACCGCCACGTGTAACGCCTCTCACACCGCCACGTGTAACCCCTCTCACACCGCCACACGTAACGCCTCTCATAACACCACACGTAACGCCTCTCACACCACCACGTGTAACGCCTCTCACACCACCACACGTAACGCCTCTCACACCGCCACACGTAACTCCTCTCACACCACCACACGTAACGCCTCTCACACCACCACGTGTAACTCCTCTCACACCACCACACGGGGACAATGGCACTCATCGGAGGTGCGGGGTGGGAAGGACAAAACTGGAAGCTTTCACCGCTTGAAACGGGGGCGATCTGGAGCCGCTTGATGTATTTTCGTTCGCTCTGAAACCCCATCCCTTTAAAGTGGCCTTGCCCCCCTCCCTCTCTCCAGT